GTGCCTGGTCGGAGGCTGTTAGAGCTGGAAAGTTTAGAGACCAGCGACGGGACCAGAGGGATCTCTCACCCACCCACAGCAGAGCAGGTCACTGCAGAATCGTCCCACACTCTGGGTCCAGAACGTCCAGAACCCTTTCCATCCTGCAGGCTCCTTCTCTGGGCCAAAGATGCTCCTGCCTCGAGGAGGGCTTCAGGGATTGCAGTCACCAGAGCCATCAGCAAGGGCTGTTTTACTGACTCTGGGCTCCTGAATACCTCACACAGGGTACCCCAATTCTATCCCCTAAATATATGAACTAGCCAGGTCATTTACATGCTGTTAGCACACCTCATTCCTTCCCTTCCCTTGCCAGCCCAAATCTTTGAGGAGCAGAAGACATCTCTGGGAACCCTGTCCCCACCCCATCTTCCACTCTTTGGCCAGACAAGGCTACCCTGTCTGCAAACCTTCTCCCACTGAGCCCCCTAGTTCCCGTGGGCTCCTGGGTAAGAGGGATCCCCAAACTGGGGGCTAGGGTCTCTGATTTCAGCTAGGGATCCCAAGAACTAGAGACCTGAGATGGATGGAGATGTGGTAGGGCTTGGGCACTGCTGGTAAGGTCCCACCATGACCTTGTGCTCAAGGCCAGAGCATTCTGGAACCCACACTAGGAGGCCACAGGTAACTGAGGAGCAGAGTGGAGGCAGGGAATCCCTTCCTGGGTCCTCCGCTTCCCTAGGGACCCAGGGCCTCTGCCTGGGAGGGGGAGCGGTTTCTGGCTCGTGACAGCACCCCCCCCCCCCCAGCTCTATTTTAGGCCCAGGAGAGGTGAGAAGGCAATTTCCCAGGAGGTGCTGACATCAATGCTGGGAACGGGGTGACTACCTCCAACAACCACCTGCCACTCCAGCCCCAGATGCTCGGCAGGGCGGAGCTGATTGGTCCTTTGCTCTGGGGACATCTTGGAAACCTCCTCCAGGCTGTAGGGGCACCCAGGCCTGAGGACCTACTATGTGATATTCCTTAGAAACACAATTAGTCAGGCAGGAGAGATTGCGCTCATTTCACAGTTGGGGAACCCGAGTCTCCAAGAACAAGGTACACATGTGATCTTCCCCAAGTCCAAGAGCTGGCAGTGAGGGGCCATTTATCCCATCTTCCACTCTCTGGCTCCCCAGACACCACCCAGGTGAGTTTGTCTTGTCCCACCCGTCCCAGGGCCACATCAGTGAGCCCCAATCTTGTGTGCCTCCCCAAAGAATAGGTGGGGGTTGTCATTGCAGTGGAGGGCACCAGGGGAGTCTGGATTCCATCCCCTGGCATGACCAAAACCACACTGCATGCCCAGTCTGTGGCCTGAGGCACATTGCTACCATTTTCTGCGGCTCTGGTTCCTTGAGGTTCCTGTTGAGTCCTTCCTGGCCCCCAGTCTGGTTCCTCTCTGGTGGCATCCTGAGCCGGCTCCCCTGGTGGCTCAATTATGTGGCCCTGTGACCCCAACAGCCCCCTGATCTCCCTGGGTTGGCCGCTTCAAGCACGCTCAGCTGGTATCTTGACCTTCCCTTGGCCACACCTCACTCTGGAGCCTGAGGTCCCACCTCTCCGCTCCCCGTGCCTCCTATGTCGCTACTGCTACGAGCTGCCTGCCCCTCCCACACAGGAGCCTGCCTGGTTCTCTCTCACCTTCTCTCCTGAGGTCAAGAGCTGTGGAGGCGGCGTCTCTTCAAACCAGGGGCTCCCCGGGAGAACCCCTACCCCAGTACACAGCTTTCGAGGGCTGCTTTGGTCCCTTCTGCCCATTGCATGTTTGCCCCAGGAAGAGGACGGGACTCTAGAAATCAGAGGCCGGTGGCTACTATTCTGTCGTGAGGGCCGCCCTCTGGCTCACTCTTGCTGAGGGAGCCGTTAGGCTCTGGGCCGCGCCCCCAGCCCTCCTTCAGGAGCTCCTACCACCGAGAGGCCTGGGGCCTCCTTCCCTGAAGTCCTGCCCTCCAGCCAGTTCTTCCCTCAAATTTTCCTGCACAGGGGCCAAGGGGGGCTGATGTGGGGCCAAGACGCAGTCCCAGCAGCTGCAGGTAAGGGAGGGGTGACTGCTGTCCTTGCTCCTCGCCTTCTCTCTGCCCGACAACTCCCATCCTGGAGGACATGGCGGGTGGCGATTCCTGCCAGCGGAGTCTGTCCAGGCCCCACGCCCGGGCTGCGAGGCCTGCAGCAGAGACCACGCCAGGCAAGGGCAGGGTGGGACCGCGTGGAAGAGCGGGACGTCGGGCTTCAGGCAACCGGCTGGTGTCCCAGTCCTGCTTAAGGGCTGTGTGACCTTGAGCAGGCCTCCCTGAGCTGGTTCCTCCTCGGTGAAATGGTGGTTGGGAAGCCCCTCCGCCACGGTGCTGCGGGGGATAAAGGCGCGGCTGGCCACAGAGGCTCAGAGCAGCACCCGGTGCACAGAAGGGCTCACTCAGTCTGGCCTCACACTGTCCATGTGGCCCTAAAGGTGCCAAGGAGAAAAAAAGCTTCTTGGCCCTTGTCCCACACCCAAGGGACTCCTTTGTGGCTTGGGGCCTCGGGACCCTCTACCTCCCACCTAGACTGGTGACAGGATGCTGAGGCGTGGGGAGCAGAGAAAACGCCCAGGCCATCAGGACCAGAAATTCCTCCTTCCTCCCAGACCCCAGCCTGGTGCCCCGTCCTTTCCACCGGGAGAGAACCACTCTCCTCACCCGATGAGATCTTTCCTGAGGGAAGCCTAGTGCTCCCCCCTCCTACAATCTCAAGCTCAGGGAGGAACTGGAGGAGCCTGGGGTCCCAGGGACACCCATCCTTTGAGAGGTTTGTAGTGCACAAATGGAGTCACACTCCTGAAGGCCTGACACGCCGGGGCTGGGGGTGCGGCATACACCCCACTGCCCCTTCTCCCCCACGCATGGATTTCTCGGGTTGTGGAGAACCAGCTGTTGAGAAGTGGGGGCGGTCTGGGGTCTCACACAACCCCTTAGCAGCTTCGGCCACACATACACGCTGGAGACGGGGCTGTGGGTCATGAGGTGGGAGAGGAGTGAAAATGAGCTCTACTGAAGGGTCCAGGAGAGAGGCCTCACAGGTTCGGGCTGCAGGGGGGAGAGGAGGATAAAAAGTTACTTTGTGGAGTGTTTATAATCTCACAAACAGATCTCATTCTTGTGACTTCCTAGTGAGGCAAAAACTACCACTCTCTCTGTTTTTCAGCTTAGAAAACAGGATCTCAGGGGCCTTGCCACAGATTGGAGTTAGGGGCAGGGCCGGGAAGTGAACTCAGGCCTGTGTGGTTCTCGGAGAGTACAGAACCTGGGCCTTGCTGTCGAGGGGAATTCTGGGTCAGTGCCAGAGAGCAGCCTCAGGGCTGGAGTGCCCGCGGTGGCCAGACAAGGGACCAGTGTGGCCGCATGCACAGGATCGGGGAGAGGAGGTGGCAGAGACTAGGGTGGCGGTAAGGAGAGGATGGGCTGCGGCGAGAGTGCCCAGGAGCACCTGAGTCCGGTGGGAGAGGCTGAGGGAGGGGATGCCAGGAGAGCGCAGGACACAGCAGAAGGGGACCCGGTCCTGGAAGGAGGAACAGGTTTCTGGGTAGGGAGGTCTGTGGTGCTGGCAAGGACAGAGGGATAAAAGGGAGCTGACGGCCATCAGGGCCTTTTATCATTGGAAAGGACGACCCTTGAAGGTCATGTCATCTAAGCCCCTCACTGGAAGATGAGCAAAGGAGGCCCAGACGAGTAAAGGGACCCGCCTGGAGACACACCGAGTCAGGGTGTGGCTAGATCCCCTGCCTCACCACCTTGCACAGGTGAGAGAATTCAGAAAAGGGGCCAGGGTGGAGCTACCAAATCAGGTCACGTCTGTGAAGCTGTGCAGAGTTGAGGACAAAGGTCCCAGACCCAGGCTGGGGAAGCAGGGGTGCCGGAGGGCTGGTTAGGGCTGGAGGAGCTGACTCAGGTCAGACATCTTTGGGTCTGTGCTGAATGAGGCTGGGGGAGGGGAAGCCCAGCCTAGTGTGGGGTCGAGCAGGGGAGCCAAGTCTGGAGGTGGAAAAGGAGAAAATGAACCTGACTTTGAGAATTATCAGGTTATCCGGTGTCCTTGGAAGGGACAAGCCCAGTGAAGTGCTTCAGGCAGAGCCTCGGCAGGTTGGGAAGGGCAGGAAGGGGCAGGCATGGAGGAGGGGCGGTAGACTGCAGGAAGGAGCTGGGGGGGGCGGGGGCGGGCGGCCTGCTCAGTCAATGCAAGTGTTTTCCAGGATGGAGTTTAGGGCAGAGGGAAGAGATGGCAAATCCAAGAAAAGGAATTCGACGAGGCTGGCCGGGGTGGGCGGGAGAGCAGGGACTGTGACAGGAAGAAAGGACACTGCTTCCTTTGCAAGAGTCGGATGTGGAAAGGGGATCAAGAGCAAGGAGAGGCAGTGCCTGTGGAGTCTCAGTCAAGGTCACCTGCAGAGGAGTGGAAGGGGTCTGAATAGTCCCCACGCCAAAGAGCCACCGAGGGCAGCACCCATCTGTCCTGCCTCAGGTCTCCTGGGGCCCCTCTAGCAGCAGAGCCAAGTGAGTGACCAGAGACTGGACAGATGCAGCCGGACCTCCCCTCAGCCCTCAGGGGCTCTGACATATGCTCTCCCACTTGCAGGGGGCTCCTATCTGGCCGTCCACTTACTCTGTCCACACCTGCTGGGCTCACGGCCCTGCTTTAGGTCACCAGAGAGCACAGCAAGGCCTGACACACTGCACTCCAGCCCTATCTCTTTGCTATTTATTATTAACAAATTTATTTACAGTTCCTGAACCAAGATGAATTGTGAAATTTAACAGGAATGGCATAAAAAGGCCAAACATGACCTCTGTGGGGGTTGTACACACAGTTGCTCTATTTCCAAACTAACAACTCAGGTCCTCACCCACAGCGAGGCCCCCCTTCCTTCCTCCAAAATGAGACGCAGAATAGCACCAGGCTTCTTGTAGCTTCAACATTTAAAGAAACAAACACACAGACGCAGAGAAGGGTGAGAAGAACCACAGCACAAAATGTAATAAAAAAAAAAAAAAGTGGCCAAAGAATCAATAGCAAACCCATCTCTGTCTCCAGATTAATGGCTTGGCTGAAAGAAACGGGGGAGAGGTCCTTGGGGAAGGAGGGAGGGAAGAGGGTGATGCACAAGTTGGCAGGTGAACCACCGACCCTGGAACAACAGAAATGGAGGAGGGGGGCAGCCAGGGAAGAGCAGAGGGGCCCCCGGGGGGGGGGGTCTGACCATATCCTGGGCTCAGGGGAAAGGTCAGTTCAGAGTTCAGAGCTCCCACCAAATGCAGGGGCGAGGGAGCTCTGGAGGTGCCGCAGCCCAGCCCCTCCTCTGCTTCGTATGTTCCTGAGGATCTGTGTGCATGAGCGTGGGGGGCTGGGGGAGGGGACAAACAGGCATTTCAGAAAGCAGGAGAGCCACATGCTCCTGGGAAAGGAGGCTGGGATGGGGGTGGGGAACACCGAAACTCAGCTCTGCGAGAGGCAAGTGCCTTCAGAGGGACAGGAAGCCAGGCCAGGGCGCCTGCTGTTCCCGCTCCTTTGTGGTCCCTCCCTACGCCAACCTTGCCTCTGCCTCCTGGTGCGGGCAGTGGGCAGGGATGATCAAGCCCACCGTAGACTGCTGGCTGCTCGGGGAGCTGCCTGGAGGAAGGGGTGGAAGGCAGCCCCCAGCCCACTCTCCTGGTCCTACCCGGAGACCCGGGGAGTGGGAGGACTGGCTCTGTCGAGCCCACAGAGCTTGGCCGTGACAAATGTTGTTCACTTGGACTTCAAAGGCCAGGCCAGGGGCTCCCCTGGCTCTGGTGGGGAAGCCCCGAGGTGCTGTCCTCCATGTGGCTGGCCTGCCCCTGCTGGCTGTACAGCGCTCAGCAGAGGCAGCACTTGTATGTGTGTATCTGGCCCCTAAGTCGAGAGCTACTGCGTGCCCAGGGGACTCACGGTATCAGTTCTCTGCCGGCTCTGGGCTCGGGCTGAGACAGGGAGGCTGGGGGGCCCGGAACCACTGGGGGCAGCTGGCTCCCCCACTGGCTGGCAGAGAGCAGGGGACAGAGGTAGACTGGCCCTCTGCGGGCCCTCCTGCAGGCTGCACATCAGCTGCTGAGTGCAGGTGGGCTGACAGCCGGCCTGGAGCCACAGGGCAGCGGGGAAGCGGGTCAGCCAGGGCCAGGGGCGGCACACTCAGAACGCTCAGATCGCGGGGGGCTGTCCTCCCCTGGCCAAGGGGGCTGTGTGGCCCAATACTCTGCTGGCCCATCCGTGGGGAGGGGGAGGCAGGTCTGTGGGTGGCACCAGGGGAGGAGAGGGGCCGGAGGCCTGTACTCACAGTCTGGAGGGGGAAGGGAGACAGGGTGCCCACCACTGGCTGTCCTGGCACCGCAAGGGCTGGTGGCTCTTGTAACCAAGAATGAGGCCTGTGGCCAGGAGACCCCGGACCTCTTTTCAGGATTGCCACTGGTGAGCCGCATCTTCCGCTTGTGGCCAACAAGTGGCACATCCGGGCCAGAGAGTTCTGTAGAACCAGAGCTTGTCAGGCGGCACTGGTGTGCAGGGCTCCTAGACACTGGTGTCTCTGGGAGGTATGCGATGATGTCAGCTGACCCTCCCGGCTCCTGGCAGCTTGCTACTGGTCCCAGCATCTCGCCAGCCCCCACAGGCTCATCAGGTGCCTTCCTGCTGCCCACCGTCCCAGCCTGCTCTGGGGTGCCCAAGGCCCGGTGCGCATATTCCTCTTTCATCCTGGGAGGTGCTGCCCTGGGATGGCAGGGCTGGCCAGGGGGTGGAGTCTCAGAACACAGCAGGTCACGATCTGAACACGGGGGGCCCGGCTGCCTGCGGGACAGAAACACTGGGCCTCAGGGCTCATCTCCAGAGCAGGTGGCAAGTTGGGATCTTTCTGGGTCAGGGCTGAGGGCGGGGTGGGGGGTGAGGCACGCACGGCACTACCCTTCTGGGTTTTGGTGGGAAGTGAGTGGTCCGCCCTGGGGAGCCATGAGAGGTGTGCTCTCTGGCTGCTCCTGCAGTGGCAGCCAGTGCTGTCTGTGCCTCTCCTGGCCCTGTGGCCTGCGGTCAGGGCTGACCAGAGGAACAGGTTAGAGGCTGTTCCATTTAATAATTCCACAGCAGAGGCTGTTGGCAGCTGGAGAATGCAGCACCAGAGCCCAGCTCTCCAAGTTGAGCCCAGGGAGGTGAAGACTTGGGTCAAGAGGGAAGAAGCCACAGCAAGCTGGTGGCAGCAGGGGAAGCTGGGCTGGAGATCCCCCTACAATCCTTTCTGGGGGTAACGTGTAGAAAGGCAGAAAGACACTACATCTTACCTGTCTAGGAGGAACCCAGGAGTCCCCCTCACTACTTTAGAAGGCCACACAGCGACATCAGCAGGCACTGGCCAGGAGCAGCCACTGCGGAGCTGCCCTCCCCACCCCCACAACCACGGCGATGCCTGTGCACCAGGATGGGAATGGCGTGCTGGTCTGGCCCAGGCCCCATCAGCTGAAGCCAAAAATGGAGGGCTTCCACCCCCCACCAATCCCGGGTTGTGTCTGGCTCCCTCCCCGCTACAGTGGGCGGCAGGACGGCGAGGATGCGGCAGTGCCCGCCATGCCAGCAGGGCCGCTCAGGGTACTCACCTGGGGGAGCTGGCCCGGAAGGGGGTGTCGGCAAAGCTGTGGCTGAGCTGGGCAATGACCCGATCGACTTCTGCATACGGGTGGGCTTCTAGGGCAAAGCCCTGGTGCTGGGTGCTCTGGAGATGCTGCCCGGGGTGAGAGGGGCACAGGGCATTAGTCAAGGCCAGGGTGGGATGCGAGTAGGGTGAGGGCCGGGAAGGAAAACATGGTCAGAGCAGCCTGGGAGCAGCTGCTTGGCGGGGAGGGCTCACCGCATGGAGCTCCTCAAATGCCTCTTGGCAGCACTCACAGAAGCCCTTCCTCCTCCTGGGCAGGGTGCGGGTGGCCGATCGCGGGCTTGGCTCTCGGTCCTTGGGCTCTCTGGGTGAAAGAATTGGTTGGGGGTGGGAGAAAGCAATCACTGTTGGGGCGCTTGGAGGGAAGGGCCTTGGAAGGAGGCGGGCCTGCCTACACTTAACACCTCCTGTCCAAGCAACAAGGAAGGCGAGACCTCCCAGAGAGCATCCTTTCCGGTCCCTGCCCACACATCTCAAACCACAGGGCGGGTGCCGGGGGCAGCAAAAACTCCTCCTAGGGCAATTCCAGCCCGACACGCAAACCCACGCTCATGTGACCTACAGGATGAAAGGGGAAAGGCCTCAGGGGTAGTGAGGGCACCATGATGCCCCCAACCCCCTCTACCCAGAATGTCCCCTTCCCCTGCTTCGGGTGGCCTCCTCCCTCACGCTGGCTTGCTCCTTGCACAGAGGCCACCTTCGCTGAGGACTTTCTGATCTCTTTCTCAAACCTGACTTCTCATTTGAATTTCAGGCCCATCTTTCTAGGGGCTGCTTGGCTGTATGAGCAAGCTCAACCAAGTCCAAAATAGTCCTCTTTGAGGACTTCCTAAGCATGAGGCAAAACCTAGAAAACATAGGAAAAAGCTGATAAATTCAACTACATGCAACCTAAAAAAAATGTATGCATGGCAGAAAATGTAAACAAAAGATAAATCACAAACCGGGGAGAGGGAGTTGTATTTATAACTAATAACACAAAGGGCTCATTTCCCTAATACGTGAAGGGCTCTTTACAAATCAAGAAAAGTGATCCATAGCTGAAAAGAAAAATGGGCAAAGGATCTTAAGAAGGTTCATACGAAAAGAGAGTCAAACGATCAAACATATGAACCTACTTAACCTCATTCATAATGAGAAAAATGAAAATGAAAATTATACTAAGATACAGTTTTTAACCTATCAGACTGGCAGAGGTCAGCACGTCGGACAGCTCACTGTACCAGCCAAGGCGGACGGGAGACGGGCTCAGGGCCAGGGCGTGAGAGCGCACACTGGCATCACCCCCATGAAAAGCAATTTGGCTGCCTTTATCAACATTATAAATGCAGGTACCCTTTGACCCAGCACCTCCACTTTTAGGAATTTATTCTACAAATTCATTCTGAGTAAGACTATTCGCTGCAGCATTATTTATAATGGCAAAAGTCTGGAAATAATCTAAGTATCTATCAGTAAGAGACTGGTTCAATGAAATACCGTAAGACCACACCTTGGAAGACCCTGAAGCCATAAAAGGGAACGAGGATGCTTTCTAGGTACTAAGAGGAAATTAATCTAGAATACATCAGTGGGGGGCGCCTGGGGGGCTCAGTCAGTTGAGCCTCCGACTTCTGCTCAGGTCATGATCTCACGGTTCTTGGAAGTTCCAGCCCCACTTTGGGCTCACTGCTATCAGCGCAGAGTCGGCTTCAGATCCTCTGTCCCACCTCCTCTCTCTCTGCCCCTCTCCTTTTCAGGCTCTCAAAAATAAATCATTAAAAAGAAAAATAGAATACATCAAGTGGAAAAATCTAGATTCAGCCCAGCCACTGTTATACTACTCTTTCTATGAGAGAGAAGGATATATGGTGTACTTCTGTCCACACAAACGATCTCTGGACACAGACCCACACTGTGGAGGTTAGAGGGCAGGTGTGGAATACAGACTTTTCACTTTAAACCCTCTGTATAACTTCTGAATTTGAAAGCAAAATATACTAACTTAAAAACAAAAAATATTAAACATTTCCTCTCACAGATCTTCTCTAGCTCGCCCTTTCTGCCCCTGCCCCTGGACCACTCTCTCCCTATAGTCCTCCCTGCTGCGCCCTGCTCAGTGACGGCTCACGTTCTCACACATCTGCAGAGGAAGAACATGCACCACCTATGAGCCACTCTGGGCCACACGATGCGGTAGGTCCCCAGATTCTTTGCCCCTTAGTTATTCCTGATGTTTAGCCCCAAAGGCCTCAAGCTCTGATGTGCATAACACCCCCAGGAGCTCACGAGAATGCAGTTTTTGGGGATCCATCATCAGAAACAAGGTAGGTGTGGAGTCTGAGAACATGCCTTTTTAATGGGGCCCTGGGGGACTCTGATAAAGGTGGTCTGTAGACCTTTTAGAAACCAGCCTATTGTCCTCTGGACACCAGTCAAATTCTTCAGTAGGGATGGAAAACATCAAGTGAAACGGATGAAGACTCCTAGTGTCTGGGCTAAGTTCCCAGAATAGACTTTGCCTAAGGAGCAAACACATGGTCATTCCCAAATCAGACCAGCAGGCTCTTTAGGGGAAGGACCTTGCCTGCAACCAGCCCTTGGTACGCACACGAGAAAGACCCACCTGGTATGATGTGAGCTGCCCAGGGTCATCGGGGCCTCAAAAGGGCTTGCATCTTTGGGTCCCAGAAAAGAAATTTCAGGAAAGGATTTAAACTGATGATGGAAAGGACGAAACTTCCTGCAACACAGAAAACTTCCATTTTGACTACAGTGAGGCAGTGATAGGAAGAAAGGGGCCGGGCCCAACCCCTAGAATTCCAGTCCTGATAAAATGGCCTCTCCCCTGCACATCTTTTCAGTTCTAGAACCAAACCCTCACCAGCCTCCCTGGTTAGATTAACACTTACACTCTCCCCATCTACTCATCAAAGCCTGTTTACCTTCCCTGCGTCATCTGAGCTGACGCGATCAAGTGGTGTTAGCCCATTTTTACAGAAGAGGAAATGAAGTGCAAAAGGTTCTGTGACTTCGTCCAAGGGCTCGCGACTGGTAAGCGGTCAACACCAGGCAACAAGTCATGTCTCCCAACTCCTGATCTATCTTTCCACTTTGCTTCCTGACCCTAAACCACCTTTGAGGGGGCACCTGGCTGGCTCAGTAAGTGGAGCATGAAACTCTTGATCTCGGGGTTGAGAGTTCAAACCCCAGGCTGCATGTGGAGATTACTTAAAAAATAAAATCTTTGGGGGCTCCTGGGTGGCTCAGTCAGTTGAGTGTCCGACTTCGGCTCAGGTCACAATCTCACGGTGTGTGGGTTCGAGCCTCGCGTCAGGCTCTGTGCTGACAGCTAGCTCAGAGCCTGGAGCCTGTTTCAGATTCTGTGCCTCCCTCTCTCTCTGACCCTCCCCTGCTCACACTGTGTCTCTCTCTCAGAAATAAAAACATTTTAAAATTTTTTAAAAAATAAAATAAAATCTTTAAAAAAATAAATAAATAAAATCATGTTTGAGGACTCTAGCCTGGTAGACCTAAATCGAGGAATGTTTAAACCAGAACAGTGATTTTCCTGTTTCAAGAAAAGGAACATTTTTGCTCTGGGCTCTTCCTTTGTACCACCTGAGGGGCGAGAGCCCTGTGGCCTACGGGGTCTTCTTGGACCCTTAAGGAGAAGGAGGTGCACTTCACAGCCCCAGTACCCCTCTCTTCCTCAATGAGGAAGACCCCTCGTCTTCCTCAATGTTTTGTTTCTGCTTAGAAGGCTACAAAGTTGAGGTGGGGGAGGCTATGATGCTTCAGGAAAACATAAGCAGAACCACAAGAAACCTCATCTCCACTCTTGCCTGTGTCGCCTGGGGCACACAAACACGTGTATGCCTCTCCAGTAAGCGACATCACCTGTGCCACGTGCAGCAAGACGCCGAGGCACTGGCGACATCTCTCAAGCTGCTGTGTATGAGCCATTGCTGCTTGTATTTAACTGGTAGTGAAGGGGCTGAGGTTGGGACGTGCCCTCCCTCCCACTTAACTGGAGAAGACAGCACCTTATTGTCTCTCTCTGTTCCCTCTGCTAATTTCTGGGCCGCCAAAGCCAATTCTGTATTGTGTGCAGGTGCTGAGAAGGAAATCTAGGTCCAGCAGGCGGGGAGGCGGGCACGCCAGGCTCCCAGCACTGGGTCTTTTAGCTGCCCTGCCTGGGGCTGAGAAAGCTCTGGTCCTAGGAGTCTCTGCTAGGTTCACATGAGCTTTTTCTTTTTAACAAAACCATACCAGACCAAACCAAAAAAACAAAAAAACAAAAAACAAAAAACAAAACAACACATACACACACAAAAACAAAAAAAACTTTAGGGGCAATCGGTTAAGTGTCTGACTTCGACTCAGGTCATGACGCTACGGTTTGTGGGTTCAAGCCTTGCATCAGGCTCTGTGCTGACAGCTCAGAGCCTGGAGCCTGCTTTGGATTCTGTGTCTCCCTCTCTCTACCCCACCCCACCCCCCTCTCAAAGAATATACATTAAAAAAACTTTTACTTTGAGATAATGATAGATCTACACATTTTTGACCTAGTGCTTATCGAAGAGTCAGTAATAACCGAAGTGACTAACAGCTCATAGATGACAACCAATGTGACCCTCCTGCTCTAGGTAAGAAGGGGCCGGGCTGGTGGGCAGATAGGGCAGAGTGAAAAGGACACCAGGCAGGACACCTGGATTCTGACCTTGGACTAAGATTCACTGGCAAAATGGCCATATACAAGTCCCTTCATTTCTCCGACCTCGGTTTCCCCTCTAGGGAAAGGACGGAGCCTCCTCACTCCAATCTTTCCCCGGGGCCCTCACCTCACGAGAGAGCACGTGTCAGAAAAGGGCTTTGCACAGCCAACCAGAAAGCCTTCAAGTACAGGGTGATTTGACAAGGGAGTCCCCAACACCATGCCAAGAGCCCTGGCTTCGGCCACAGGGACCATACTAGCACTGTCCTGGGCCAGCAACAATTTGGTATTAAGTGTCAGTGTGTGCCCACGGGGAAACGAGGACCAGTAATGAGCCTGGAAGGGACATCATGCGCTCATAAAAGCAGAGCATTAGAAAGAGGTAATTCACACACAGGGGCACTGACCTCTGGCTCACACCCAAGAGGAGCACTGCCTGTGCAAGGCCACCTTCAGAGGCTCCTCCTGGTCTGTGGGAGACTTCTCCATGGCAGAGGGAGAAAGCGGTCTCTGGGGAAGACGAAGGTGCAGGGCTGAGGGGTTCCATGACCCCCGCCTCAGCTCACCGACCCCCCAATTTACCTGCTCTCATCTTCGATTTTGAGGAATGGCGCCTTCAGCCTGGCCACTGGAAAGGAAAAGCGCACACGTCAGCCATCTGTTGGCTCCAGTGCAGGGCCCACACCACACACACACAGCAAATGCTCAGAGAGGGAAGGCTTGGCCAAGTCTAAGAGCTGCTCAGAGTGGGAGCCTATGCCACCCCGAGGTACACCTTTCCATTTGGCTGGGCGGGACACCCACTCCCATCTCCCCTGGCCTCCGACCCCAAAGCAGGGTACAGGACCCTCCCATGTGTGGATTCTGGAGGCTGTGAGCCGAGGGTTAGAAACCTGGCTGCAGGGCAGGTCCCAGCCCCAGCTGGTTTCTAAAAGCCCTAGGTCCTTGCCTGACCTTTCCTCTTAGAGCCTCAGAATCCTGAGGGGCCTGAGAACACTCCCAGACAGAATACTCCATGAGGATTCTGGGGTTTTGGGGGGAAAGCAGGGAGGAAGAGAGCTAAAGGGTGTTTAGGGATCATAGCAGAAGGGCAGTAAAAAAATATATATCAAAGGTGAAATCTGGTTCCCGAATGAACAGGGCAAAAGGGTACCAGGAAGACAAATTTGCTCCATTAGTCAAGAAATTCATCCTCTACTAGCTATTCGCACAGTTTATAAAATCTCTTAGGTATTAAGAACCACCTCTACTTCCCACGGTGACCAAAGCCCTGTCAGAACAGCCCCAGATCCCACCCAGAGGCCGGCGCCTCCCCGCTCACAAACCTGCTCAAGGCTCCGCCAGCACCCAAGCAAAAAGCAGCCTCACTCCTTACATGGCAGCAGCTCCCATTAATTACTTTTTGGGGGCGATTTCTTGTCTTTCTAATTAACTGAGACAGTGATTAAAATCAATTCCCCCACAGATTTCCTTGAATTTTGAACACGAGAGGTGCCAAGTGACTTTTCTTAGCTCCTGCTTGTGCACGAATAAATGCCACTTAAAGAGCATCTTTGGGAGAAACATCCAGGGGGAGAAGCTCCCTTGCGGTCCAAGGGGGCCGGGAGCCGGGCTGTCAATCTGCCGGTCTGTCAATTTTAGGGAGTCTGGCATTTGGGAAAGTGGTAGGCAGCTGTCAAACTGCCCACCCCAAACTGCTCTTGAGTCAGAAGGAAAAGGAAGCTGAACTTCAGTTAATGCCCAGAACGGGCAGAGGATGCGGGAGGCAGAGCGGCCGCATGGGGTCTTGGCACCAAGGAAAAGCCCCGGCCGGGCGGCCCTCGACCTGCTCACGGATACCCCTCTCCTGCCCTCCTGTCTGCAAAGCTCAGGCCCTGGAAACACGACAGGGCAACGCAACCTGGACTCGCTTCCTGCCGCAGAAAAGTGAGCAGATGCTGCTACAGAGGGAGCCGTGGGGAAGCGTTTAGGAGGGAGGGACTGCAATTAGATGAGGAAAGCTACCACACTGACCTTTCCGCGTTCTTGACTCTGCTGGACACGTTTCCTAAATGGAAAGGGAAAATAGGTTAAGAATGCGCGGGAGCTAGAGGGTCGAGGTAGCGGGCCTGGTGAGCCGAGTCGCTGTGAGTCTGCCCCACTTTGCTTCCTGCTACGGGCTGGGCCCTGAGCGGGATACACTGGACATGATGGCTCCTTCTGCCTCCCCAGGGACGTGAGGAGCGGTGAGCACGGTGTGTGAATCTCAATGGTGGCTGACTGTGTGGAGGAAACAGGACACCGTGAAGGGCAAGAGGCGCAGAAGCCCCAGCCCCGGGCGCAGACTGGAGCTGTGTCGCCCAGGGGGTGATGAGCACCCACCTACCTGGTCGACGTGGCACAAATGCAAAGAAAGTAGGTGACAGACCTGATGCAGAGCAGGTGCTCAGTAAATAGCAGCTTGCATTTTCTAGGCACTGCTGGCATTCCAGAGCAGCTTACAGGACAAGTGTAAAGAGAATGGCTCTTGCCTTCCTGTGCCCGGTCTTGTGTGTTGGGATTCCCTTGGTCAAGACCAACATCTAGTGCAAGGTCAAACTAATATTACAAACTAAATGGGAAAGAAATCAGGTAGAATTGGGGTGGGCAGGACAGATCCAGTGGGTCCATGACTGTCTGTGCCTCTGGGCCCAGGGAGGTTCTGGATTCTCCTCTAGGCCGTACCTCCAGGGCAAACACAACCCAAAGCAGCTTCCCTATTTCTTCAAGTATCAGGAGACTGCACCCAGAACTCATTCTGGAAGATCCCTTAGTATCTACAAAATAGATTATTAAGTGAACAAAGCCAAGTAAAAATAATGTGCATTTGCATAAAAGGGGGGGGAAGCTTTTAACATATCTGTTTGTCTATGCACGGATCCTGGAAGGAAACCTGAAAAACTATTCGCACTGTTTATCTCGGGGAGGGAGCTTGGTGGCTGGGGAAGAGAAATCGCAGGGGAGAGAGACTTTCATTGCATAACTTTTTGAACTGTGAACAATGAAAATCTATTTTTTTTAAATGTTTTATTTATTTCTGAGACAGAGACAGCGTGAGCAGGGGAGGGTCAGAGAGAGAGGGAGATACAGAATCTGAAACAGGCTCCAGGCTCTGGGCTGTCAGCACAGAGCCCAACGCAGGGCTCGAACCCACAAACCGTGAGATCATGACCTGAGCCGAAGTCAGAAGCTCACCTGACTGAGCCACCCAGGTGCCCCAATGAAAATCTATTTAACATCAGGGGCAAAACCCTAGAGGGTGTGGAGTGGTGGGGGCTTAGAGGGAGGCAGATGTGGTACAGACGCGGTCTGTCCCCACACCTGGTCCTACTCCTGGGTGCCAGGCCCTGGGTGGACCTGTAAGGCTTAATCCTTCCTCAGATTTAGGCTGGGTGAAGACACCGTGACTTTAAAAATCAGCCTGGGTTCTCTTGGTGTGTGGTACACACAGTTCCAACTCCAGCAAAGGAAGGAAAAGCCAAGTAAGAATTTGGAAGGTGACAGCTATTTCAAACCACGACATCCCCTGCCCCCACCCATGCAATCTGCAGGCTCATCCCTGGCCAAGAGCTGTCCCCGGAACAGCAGCCTGGCCAGCAGGCCATGAGCATTCATGTTTTATCTAGGCCAGGACTACCCACAGGCAGTCCCTGGCCCAGGCCACGGTGAATGCCTCCGTGTACCACAGGAGATCTGTAGGGAACACAGGGAAGAGAGGACAGGGCGATGAGAGGCTATGGACACCAGGGGGGTGCTGAGGGGCTGCGCTTCTTGTACGCGATCCAGGATGGCCAAGAATGCATGGCTTGCATGGGGCATGGGCTCACCGAAGGTATCACGGACTTCCTGTTTACAAACCATCCATTTCCCTTCCGTTCAGCATGATGACCTACCTCTGGCTTCTTCTTTGGCCCCTGTTTCTTCACACGCAAGGCATCAAGAGAGAGCTGTTGTACGTGCATCATCATTTCTGTGGAGGCAATAGCGGGCTGTGGCCAAAGGCTCCCACTCCTCATCTCCTCAGCATGGCCCCTTCCTGGGGCCAGGAGGCTCCACTTTTCACAGGCCTGGCCCACTGGATCACACCAGCCTTGCCTGCCACCTTCTGGCTATGTGTCACCTCTGCACTTGATAATAAAACAAAGGGCTGGGTCCTCTAACCTGGGAAAAATACCTAAGCCGACTTCACCCTATTTTGTAGCACTGAATACAACTCTTGAACAAGAGGTGCCTTACGGCCCCTGTGAGCTTTAATGTACCACCAAAGGGCTGCTTCCATTGGGGGGAGACCAGCTGTAAGAGTTACTCAGGTGCAGCCGAAGATGGAAGGTGCTTCCCTAACGCACAGGAAGGCAGTACTTTAGGTCCCGTCAGAAATGGCTGATTCTCCAGTGACAATGGAGCCCCCCACATCCCAGACCAGGACCTTCCCAAGCAGTTTTCTATTGCCTGGCAGATCTCGGGCTGGATCGGGAGGAGGCCCCTACAACGGATCAGAGAAGACCCTAGACTCAAAGTGGAGCTGGGTGTGAGAGTCAGTCACTGTCAGCCGATTCGATAGCTATTGTTTTATTTTATTTTTTTAAGTGTATTTATTTTGGGGCGTCTGGGTGGCTCAGTTGGTTAAGCATCTTACTCGTTTTCAGCTCAGGTCATGATCTCATGGTTCATGGGTCTGAGCTCTGCATTGGGCTCTGTGCTGACAGCATGGAGCCTGCTTGGGATTCTTTCTCTCCCCCAAACTCTCCCTGCCCCTCCCCCACTCATGCTATCTCAAAATAAAAACTTAAAAAATAAAAAACAAAGTTTATGTATTTTGAGAGAGCTAGAACACACAAGTGTGCACGCCAACAAGCATGAGCAGGGGAGGGGCAGAGAGAGAGAGGATTCCAAGCTGGCTCCATGCTGTCCGTGAAGAGCCTAAGGCAGTGCTCGATCTCAGGAACCATGATATCATGACCTGAGAGGAGATGCTTAACCAACTAGGCCACCCAAGGCAGGACAGTTAGTCTAATGTAAATTTATTGCAACCTGCAAATAGGTGGCTACAGTGAGGAAAAAGTACATAAAAGAACATGAAAAAAAATTTTAAGATTTTAGTTTTATTTAAAAAAAAAATTTTTTTTTTAATGTTTTATTTATTTCTGGGAGAGAGAGAGAGAGACAGCGTGAGCAGGGGAGGGTCAGAGACAGAGGGAGTCACAGATTCTGAAACAGGTGCCCCTTAAGATTTTAGTTTTAAGGGGCGCCTGGGTGGCTCAGCCAGTTAAGTGTCTGACTTTGGCTCAGGTCATGATCTCACAGTTCGTGGGTTCGAGCCCCATATCAGGCTCTGTGCTGACAGCTAGCTCAGAGCCTGGAGCCTGTTTCAGATTCTGTATCTCCCTCTCTCTCTCTGACCCTCCCCTGTTCATGCTGTCTCTCTCTCCTTCAGAAATAAATAAAACATATAGAAAAATTAAAAAAAAAAAAAAAGGTTTTAGTTTTAAATAAAAATATAGTATTTTTAATAGAAATCTTGTATAAAAATAATTTTTAAAAATTAGAGGTTATGGGGCGCCTAGGTGGCTCAGTCGGTTGGGCAGCCAACTTCAGCTCAGGTCACGATCTCACGGTTCGTGGGTTCGAGCCCCGCATCGGGCTCTGTGCTGACAGCTAGCTCAGAGCCTGGAGCCTGTTTCAGACTCTGTGTCTCCCTCTCTCTCTGACCCTCCCTTGCTCATGCTGTCTCTCTCTCTCTCAGAAATAAATAAAACATAAAAAAAAATTTTTTTTTTTAAATTAGAGATTACACCAAATGTGAGGCTTGAACTCAAAACCCCAAGATCAAGAGTTGCATGTTCTAACCACCAGGCCAGTGAGGCTCCCCGAAAGAACACGAAATGGAGTCAGGTCAAACTAGGTTGGAATGTGGGCCACACTCCTTACTTCTGATGAGACTGGATCATCTACCTAATATCTAAGGCTCCATGACCTCATCTGTGCAATGGGCAAATGACTGCAGTGGGGACTGACCTGAGCTAATGCCTAGCACAGAGAACCAGCTGGTAAGTGGCTGTGGCCACCAGGAGGACTTCCTGTCTGCGCAACAGGGTCACCACACCAGCTTGAGGAGGGCTGTGGTGCGGCTCCACAAAGCGGCGCCATCCAGTGCCCACTCTGCCGGGGCTACTGCCGGTCTCCACACCCCCCACCTCCATGGGTCCACGCGGTGAGTGGGCACATCCGGCTTTCAGCTGGCTCATACTGGCTGACACCCCTGTAAAAGTGGATGTTCCCAGTCAAGTCACTGACGACACGCCTCTCCAGAAGCCCCGGGCAGAAACGGTACCGTCCACATGCAGGATCCTCACACCCCAGGAGCGGGCGCTGGTCAGGAGACTGCCGCTGCTCCCAGCACCTCCGCCGCCGCCGCTCCCCTGGAAAGACGAAGCCATCAGGAGGGAGCAAGGGACTCCCCGGGGCCTGAGCAGCTCGGGGGCACCCCGTGAAGAGAGGCAGTGGGAGAGTCTACCCCAGTCCCCCAGGGGGCCCTGGTCTCCACAAGGGCGGGCCACAGCGGGAGGGGGGGACTGTCCAGCCCCTGCTGATCAGGAAGTAGCACAGGCTTCTCAGAGAGCTGTCAGGAGGGCCTCCGTGAGGAAAGCGCTCACAATAAATACCGGCGACAGTCACTGTCACCAAGCAGGACACGGTGCTGGCCTCGGGCTGTTCCCGCCTTCCCCTGCCACAGCCCGCACACCCTTCCCAATGTCCCTTTACCCACTGTGCTCGTGAGATCCCCTGAGCTCCTCCTTCTGCCGCTTCGTTTTAATGGCTCTGCGTCCCACAGAAGGGAAAAACAGCTAAAAGGTGCGCAAAGTCTGGCTTATGTGCAGCGCGGCCCCCCTCCGAGGTGCTCGTGCTAGACTCTGGTGTCGGAAGGATTAGGGAGTCAAATCTGGGCTCCACCACCGCCTCCCTGGGCGACCCTGGACAAGTCGCTTCACTTCTCTGAGCTCTACCTCCTCATTTGTAAGAAGAAGAGGAGGGCGGAACACCTCACGGGTGTTGCGTCTCGTGTCAGTACTTCAGAAGACCCTCGTGAGAAAGGTTAAATCCTCCCCGGTGCCTCGCGGTGCACCTGCCGCGCCGGCCTCCGCTCACCTGATGGTTTCTGATGGCCTTCTGCAGTAGCTCCTTCCCTCTGCTCAAAGGCACCTGACAGGAAGAGAAGAGCAACGAGGCGCACTGTGCAGCCCGTCTGTGCACGGACAGCTGTTCTCACACAGGTGCCGCTGAGGTCGCGGCGGTCCTGGCTCTCGGAAAGCTGGGAGCAGTGACAGCTGAGAAGCAGCAGAGACGAGAGCCTGGAGAAAGCTTTGGAGGTAAAGGCAAAGCCACACACAATCCCAGGTCACCCGCAGGTAGCTGCAGCTTGGGCCCAGGTGGAGAAGGGCATTCTGAATCTACCCAAGGTCAAAGTGTCATCAATACTCTAAGACCTCTCTTTACGAGTCACCACACCCCCAGCAGATAGGCCGGGGCCAATTTCCACAGGCCCTCCCTGGTTTACAGAGGATCTCCCTACTGTTTTTGACCCTCTGACTCTTAAGTCCCATAAGAAGTATCACAGAAGGGACAGAATGGGGGTAACAAATTGTGGAGGCTTTTAGATCCAGAGCTATGATAAAATATTTTCAGTCTCTGAATTCAAATGAGAGATTAAATTAAACCAGATGAAACTAAAGCCATAGACTGCCCACAACGGCTCACCGAGGCCTACTTCCTGTGTTCGGAGAACACACCTTTTCTACACAACGAGGTTCTTACCGAGTCTGTGGGTTTCTGTGGAGGCCCGGGGTGGCTGCACTTTGGATGGGCTGTAGATCGTGTCTGCACCTTGACCTTGCTGGGGCTGGGGCAGCCTCTGTGGCCCGTCCCGCTGCTCTCTGCCTTCACTTCCCTGCGGCTGGACACGATGTAACTTACTTCTTTGCTCAGAAAACCCTCAATTACCTGAAACCAGATCACAGAGGTGGCTGAAAACCAAAAGGCAGAGGTAGAACCATCGATTTTGAGAGGCTGGGGAAGGAAATCTTGGCTGCCAGAAGTTTCAGAATCAATGTCCTTAAATAGACCAAATGCAGTTTTGTACCGAGCCCTCAAGAAGACATCACCCTGAAACATAATAGGGTTTATATATATAATACAGGTTTTGTCGCCAGCACTGCTGCTCCTGATCCAGTGGCAGAAGGCCACAGGCTCTGTGATTTGACCAGAGTGAGTCTGCACAGAGCAAGAGCACACTGAAGGGGCCCGACAGGATTAAAAGTACTTGGTTAAGCCACGGCCTTCCTGTGAAGATACTCGGGCACCCAGACACAGCACCTGTGATCTTGACCACACTACCAAAAATAGGAACGAAAATATGAAAGAAAGAATTTGGCTGTGACCGAGCTGCACAGGTATCATCTGCTCATCCTACCTGTGAGCTCCTCATTGGCACTGAGAGGGTCTGGCGCCTCTTTGTATCCCAGGGGCCCAACACGGTGCCTGAAGCATAAGGACACTTAGCTCGTATTTGTGGGGAGAAGAAAAGATGGAAATAAGCAGTGGTGAGGTGGCTAACGCTTAGTGATGCCCCCCTACCACCACCCCCAGGGAAAAACGGCTGTTGCGTAGCATGTGTGCCGATTTCTGGGGGGTAAGTAAATCAGCCACTATGGCTGATTTCAAGCTACTGACAAGATGTTACTGAACGTAGAGCTGGAAAGAGATGCTAACCACTGGCTCCATCTCCAGCACTCCCTAAAAGTCAGGAAGAATGATGGCCCTCTATCAAGGTGACTGGATGAGAAACTTGGCACTGAGCTTTTTAAAAAAAATTTTTTGACGTTTTATTTATTTCTGAGAGAGAGAGACAGCACGAGCAGGGAAAGGTCAAAGAGAAAGAGAGAGACACAGAATCTGAAGCAGGCTCCGGGCTCTGAGCTGTCAGCACAGAGCCCAACGCGGGGCTTGAACTCACAAACCTTGAGATCGTGATCTGTGCCAAAGTCAGATGTTCAACCTACTGAACCACCTGGGTGCCCCGAGAATAGTTTGGATTTGATTAGTTGTATGAATATTAACTCTACCTAGTTCTTTTTTAAATGGGGTTACTAGAAAAAAAAATTTAATTTTTTAATGTTTATTTATTTTTGAGAGAATGAGAGAGAGTGCAGCAAAGGGCCAGTGAGAGAGAGAGGGAGACACAGAATCCAAAGCAGGCTCCAAGCTCTGAGCTAGCTGTCAGCACAGAGCCTGACGCGGGGCTCGAACCCACGAACTGTGAGATCACGACCTGAGCCAAAGTCAGCAGCCCAATCAACTGAGCCACCCAGGCGCCCCAACTTGGCACTGAGCTTAAAACCAAACCAAACCAACAACTGTTAAGATTCCTCAAAAAGCTAAACATGGCCTACCAATGACATGGCAATTCTGCTTCTAGGAATGTCCCCCAAACAACCGGAAACAAGGACTTGAACAGATACTTGTACACCCTTGCTCACCGCAGTGCTATTTATAAATGCCAAAAAATGGAAAAACCCCAAGCGAACAACAGATGGATGGGTGAGCAAAATGTGATGTATAAAAACAACGAAGTATCGCTGAGCCCTGACATGAAGGGCGGACACACGCCACAACACGGATGAGCCTGGAAAAGATTCTGCCAAGTGAAAGAAGGCAGCCACAAAAGAACGCCTATCTGTGAGTCCACTGAAAGGAGGTGTCTAGAATAGCTGAATTCACAGAGACGGAAAGAAAGTGGATTAGACAGGGGATGCAGAAAAGGGAAGTGGAAAGGTCTTGCTTCCTGGTTACAGCGTGTCTGTGTGGGGTGATAAAAGTTGTGGAAAACAGTGGTTATGGCGGCCCAACTGTGTGAATGTAATTAGTGCTGATAACCGTACATTTACAGAGGATTAAAACAGCACGTTTCATGTTGTATACGTTTTATCACAACTAAGAAAAGAATCTTTATAGTTATGGCTTGAATGAGAGTAGCTACCTTCTGTACTACGGCAAAAACAAACGCTGGAGGAGGGTGGGCGTAGGGCAAAGACTGTCCTATATAAATGCGGCCAATGGTCTGAGGGCCGCATGGCCGCCCCACCCCAGTGTGCCTGCTCCCCTGCAACGTGACTGCGGTGCCTCCTATCAAGAGGCACAGCCCCCTCTTCCATCGCCTTGAATCCCTTTGAAGAATTCAACGCAGTGAAACATGGTCCAGGGCCTACGTCTCGATAGGTCTTGAAGCTTCCCCCTTCACCTTCCTGGAGAGCTGCCGTGAAACCGCCGTGTCTACGGGTTGGTCTAGCTTCCTGTACACGCCTGTACTTCCTGTACGATGTTATACGTACACACAACACATGTAAGGAGCCTCTCAAACGACGCCTGAGAAGCCATACAGAGGCAGCGAGCACCACTCCCAGATGTGTAAGTGAGGTCACTTGGTCCCTCCAGCCAAGCTGACCCTCCACCCAAACGGAGCTGCAGGAGTAAGCCCTGAAGAAACAGGCAGAGAAAGCACTCAGCCGACCCACAGAGTAGTAAGAAATAACTTGCTTTAAGCCCCAGTTCTGGGGTGGTTTTTGTTTTTTGTTTTTTTTACACAGCAAAGGCTAAACGATAGAAGAGACTAAAAGTTCCAAAGGTAATTTGGGGCCAGTTTGGGTGTATAATCATCATTTGGTACATTCCCCACTGCCGAGTTTCTATATTCCTGAGCTGCTATTCATTTGATAGCAAAGAGCCTCTGCATTCCAAGCTTATTCAAGTTGTTTCCCTAGTTGCCCGCCTTTTTGGAGCCAAGCACTATCACCCCATTTTCTCAACTTGAGAGTTCCCCATGTCGACCCCTTACTAAAAGTACCATGTGGTACACACATGCCTTAAAAATAGTTTAAAGGACTCAAATACAGCAAATGCTTCTTACCCAAAGTTTTTCACCAGTGTTATTTTATTCTTTTTTTATTTCTGAGAGAGAGAGAGAGACAGTGTGAACAGGGGAGAGTCAAAGTGAGAGGGAGATACAGAGTCCGAAACAGGCTCCAGACTCTGAGCTAGCTGTTAGCACAGAGCCTGACGCGGGGCTCGAACCCACAAACCGTGAGATCATGACCTGGGCCGAAGTCGGACGCTTAACCTACTGAGCCATCCAGGCGCCCCTCACCAGTGTTATTTAAAAGAGTTAGAATTTAAAAATAATCTCAATGTCCACAGAGTAACAATTAGGTAAATTAATAATCCACTCAAAGAAATACATTCGTATTACAAGCAACATATATGAGGGATAATAACGATAGCAGAGTGCTAATGCTTTAAGATTATGGGCAAAACATTGGTAATCAAAAATATATTCATGATCATGGCTACACAGAAAATAAACATTAAAAAAAAAAACAAAAACAGAACAAACACAAGAATAGAGAGACCAAAGTAGTGAAGTGGTTACCCATGTTGTGTGTATTGAGGAGAAATGGGGAGTGACCGACAGTGGGTATGGGTTTTCTTTTTGGGGTGATGAAAAGGTTCTAAAATTATGTGTTCATACAGCTTGCATATCTCTGTGATTACACCAAAAAACATTGAGTTGTGCACTTTAAATGGGTGAACTGTATGGTATATGGGATACATCTCAATAAAGTTGTGAAAAAAGGGGCACCTGGGTATAAGTATCCAGCTTTTAAAATTTTATTTTTTTTAATGTTTACTTATTTTTGAGAGAGAGAGTCAGAGCGTGAGCAGGGGAGGGGCAGAGAGAGAGGGAGACACAGAATCCGAAGCAGGCTCCAGGCTCTGAGCGGTCAGCACAGAGCTCAACATGGGGCTCGAACCCACAGCCGTGAGATCACAACCTGAGCTGAAGTCGGACAGATGCTCAACCGACTGAGCCACCCAGGTGCCCCATCAGCATCCAATTCTTAATTTCAGCTCAAGACAGGACCTCACAGTTCATGAGTTTGAGCCCTGCATTGGGCTCCGTGCTGACAGTGCAGGGTCTACTTGGTATTCCCCGTCTCCCTCTCTCTCTGCCCTTCCGCTGCTCGCTCTCTCTCATTCTCAAAATAAATAAATAGATATTAAAAAATAAAAATAAGAAAATAAAGCTGTGAAAAAAGAGTCCAAAACAAAGATATCAAATACCTAGAAGTCACAGATAGAATCCCTCTCCAGCTCCTGCCCTATAACCCACAAAACCACATGATATCACAAGTCTTAAGCAGGTTACATACCCCACCCAGCTGCTGGATGGCCCCCGTCAAAAACTGGAGACTCTTGCCGGCAGGCAGATCTAGATAAAAGGACTTTCCAGAGAAGGGCTGCCTCCCAGCATCTGCAGAGCTCTTCCGGCATTTTTCCAGACCACTGGAAGCTTCCAGTTGAGCCCCTAGGAAAGAACAAAGGGGAACAAAGTGAGAAGCATGGGCTGAGAGTCTCGCGAGCTGAACAATGCCCAATGACAGCGCCTGGGGGCGCCCTGGCCAGGCCCTGGGCACATAAGATGAACCTGGAACTAGCATTCCTACCTTCCTGAAGCTCAGATGTGAAGAGCTCAGAACCTGGTACATGCATGGCAGGAATGTAAAATAGTGCAGCCACTTGAGAAAATAGTTCAGCAGTTTCTCAAAATGCTAATCATAAACACATGACCCTGTAATTCCACTCCTAGGCATAAACCCGGGAGAAAGAAACTGTATGTCCAGATAAAAACACGTACGAGAATGTTCATAGCAGCACTGTTCATTCAGCCAACAGGAAAGAATTCAAATGTAAATAAAATGATAAGCAAAATGTGGCATATCCATTCAATGGAATATTATTGGGAAATTAAAAAAAAAACTAAACAAGCCACCAACACCTGCTACAAGCAGGAATCTCAAACACATGCTAAAGCAGAACAGCCAGATACAAAGACCAAATACATGATTGTATTTATATGAAATGTTCAGAAAAGGAAAAGATAGAGAGAAACTGGATTAGTGGTTGCCAAAGGCAGGGTGGGAATAAGAAGGGATTGAAAATGGGCGTGAGGTTCTTTATAGGGTGACAAAAATATTCTAAAATTAGACTATTGTATTAGTTGCACAGCTCTGTAAATTAAAGGTCACTGAAAGCATACAACAAACGAACTTTATAGTGTGTAAATTATACCTCATTAAAGCTAGGAAAAAAAACCCAAAAATCCAAACCCTTCAGTGAATATAATCTTGAGATTTGTGCATTTCTTTGTATATAAAAAAGAAACACCTATAAATAAATATGGAATTCTGATCAATGAAACACATGCTGTACTATTTAGAGAGAAAGATACTGTCTGCAAATTACTTGAAATGTATCAAAAATACACTGAATAGAAATCCACTATGATAGGGGTGTCTGGGTGGCTCAGTCTGGTGAGTGTTGGACATCAGCTCAGGTCATAATCTCATGATCTCGAGACCCACATCAGGCTTGATGCTGTCAGCCCAGAGCCTGCTTTGGATCATCTGTTCCCCTCTCTCTGCCCCACCCTGCTTGTGTTCTCTCTCTCTCTCAAAAAAAAAAAAAAAAAAAAAAAAAAAAATTTAAGAAAATCCATCATGATAAAATAAGTATATTAAAATGCCAATGATAAAATCTAAATGGTGTGTATATGCACGCTCAGTGTAAAAATCTTTAAGTTTTGTTACAGGGTTGAAAACTTTCATAATCAAATGTTAACACTTGAAGAGATTAGGGGGTGTCTGGGTGACTCAGTTGGTTAAGTGTCTGACTCTTGATTTTGGCTCAGGTCACAATCTCACCATTTCATGAGTTCGAGCCTTGCGTCGGGCTCTGTGCTGATGGTGTAGAGCTTGCTGGAAGTTCTCTCTCTGCCCTTTCCTCACTCACACTGTCTCTGTCTCTCTAGCAAAATAAAATAAAACTTAAAAAAAAAAAAAAAGCTTGAGGAGATAAAAAGGATTCAAGAGAATGGGACAAACACTGAAGCAAAGAACTTCTAATGTACAGATAACAAGAGTCCCTGAAGACAAAAACCAAAAATCCCCAGAATACTAAAATTATAGTTCCCAGAAATTAAAAAAAATATATTTCAAACTAACAAACTCAAAGAGTTTATCACATACTTGAAAAAATGGACCCAGAACAGCAAACACCATGATACAGTTAATAAACTGCTGGATTTTACATCCAGCTCATGATCTCTGCTCAGGTCATGATCTCACAGTTTGTGAGTTGGAGCCCCGTGTTGGGCTCTGCGCTGATGTTGCAAAGCCTACTTGGGATTCTCTCTCTCTCCCTTTCTATCAAAATATATAAATAAACTTTGGGGCGCTGGGTGGCTTAGTCGGTTAAGCGTCCGACTTTCGCTTAGGTCATGATCTTGCAGTTCGTGGGTTCGAGCTCCGCGTTGGGCTCTGTGCTGACTGCCAGCTCAGAGCCTGGAGCCTGTTTCAGAGTCTGTGACTCCCTCTCTCTCTGACCCTCCCCTGCTCACGCTGTCTCTCTCTCTCTCCTAGAAATAAAAAAAACAATAAAAAAAAATATATATATAAATAAACTTTAAAAAAAATGGGTCATTGACTTGGCCATTTAGAAAATAAAAAATAGGGCGCCCGGGTGGCTCAGTCGGTTGGGCGTCCGACTTTCGCTCGGGTCATGATCTCACGGTTTATGGGTTTGAGCCCCGCGTCGGGCTCTGTGCTGACTGCCAGCTCAGAGCCTGGAGCCTGTTTCAGAGTCTGTGACTCCCTCTCTCTCTGACCCTCCCCTGCTCACGCTCCCTCTCTCTCCTAGAAATAAATAAAACAAAAAAAAAAAAAGAAAATAAAAAATAAATGCAGGGTTTGGATCAGATATTTTTATAAATCTTCTAAAACTCTTTGATTCCATAAATTCCTGCATCACTTCTAGCTACTGCCCAGACTCCCATCTGCACCTTTGTAGTATGTTTCTTCTTCTGAGTTCCACATTACGTATTATCTCTCCTCTTAGTATATCCAGCTTCATATTTCTGTTTACTCCTTCAGGGTGGACCCGACTCCCCACCGGACTGGGAGCTATGCAGAGATGAGATCTGACTCACATATCAGTCTAAGGTCAGAGTCTGCTCTCCCATCCTCAGTTGGCACCTGACCTTCAGGCACTTACCTTCTGGTCCCCTAAACTGCCTTCTTCCTGAAAGTCCTAGTGCAGACAGAAAACACTAGAAAGTCAGCCTGACATTTCATAGAAAAGACCTTGTTGTGAGTCCCCTGCTCTGCTTCTTACTTGCTGTGTAACTCGAGGCAAGTCACAATCTCACTCAGTGTCTCTGAATCTCTATTTCTTCACTTCTGAAATAGTGATATTAGTACCCACCCATCCCCCCCGGACCCCCGGACGGTCCATACGCAGTAAATCCAGTATTGTAAATTGTGTCCACATAATGGTATTGGAGGGATATTGAAATACTTAACAGGCACTGTTATAATATGGATGAATTATATAGAATATGAATTATATCTCAATAAAAAACTATTCTTAAACAACTTTTAGGGGTGCCTGGGTGTCTCAGTCAGTTAAGCATCCCACTTCAGCTCTGGTCATGATTTCATGGTCTGTAGGTTCGAGCACTGTGTCAGGCTCTGTGCTGACAGCTCAGAGCCCAGAGCCTGCTTAAGATTCTATGTCTCCCTCTCTCTCTCTCCCTCTCACTCTTGATCTCTCAAAAATAAATAAGTGTTGGGGTGCCTGGGTGGCTCAGTCAGTTGAGCATCCAACTTTGGCTCAGGTCATGATCTCCCGGTTTGTGGGTTTGAGCCCCACATCGGGCTCTGTGCTGACAGCTAGCATGGAGCGTAGAGCCTATTTCAGATTCTGTGTCTCCTTCTCTCTCTGACCCTCCCCTGCTCATGCTGCCTCTTTCTCTCTCTCTCAGAAATAAATAAAACATTAAAAAAAAGTTTAAATAAATAAATGTTTAAAAACAAGAAAAACAAATTTTAAATTCGATATTTGTGAGGAACCTGGGTGGCTTAGTTGGTCAAGTGTCCAACTTCAGCTGAGGTCATGATCTCACGGCTTGGAAGTTTGAGCCCTGAGTCGGGCTCTCAGTTGTCACTGCAGAGCCCACTTTAGATCCCCTGCCTCCCCTCCCTCCAAGCTTGCACTCTCTCTCTCTCAAAAATAAACATTTAAACAAGAATAGGGGGCACCTGGGTGGCTCAGTGTGTTAGGCGTCAGACTTTGGCTCAGGTCGTGATGTCACGGTTCATGGGTTCAAGCCCCCATGTCAGGCTCTGTGCTGACAGTGAGGAGCCTGAAACCTGCTTTGGATTCTGTCTTTCTCTCTCTGCCCTTTCCCAGCTCATGCTATGTCTTGCTCTCTCTCAAAAATAAACATTAAAAAAACAAAAAGCCTTCCAGAGCAATTTATTGCATTCAGTTGGTCATGTACAGTGTAAATATAACGCTGCATTTCACAGATCATCTTGACTGCTTTGCCTTGATGTCTCTTTTTCTCTGAAGTTAATGTTAAATTTCTATTGTTAATTCATCAGTTCATGGTTTTTTGGTGAAAGAATCAGAAAGGTTTTTATTTATTCAACTTTTGTGTTGTAATCTGTTGATCAGTATTTGTTATTAAGCATTTCTGTGATACGCAATTTTAATTCTTTTTTTTTTTTAATTTTTTTTTTTAACATTTATTTATTATTGAGAAACAGAGAGACAGAGAGCATGAGCAGGGGAGGGACACAGAGAAGGGGAGACAAAGAATCAGAAGCAGGCTCCAGGCTCTGAGCTGTCAGCACAGAGCCCGATGTGGGGCTCGAACCCACAAACTGCGAGGTCATGACCTGAGCTGGAGTCAGACGCTTAATCGACTGAGCTATTCAGGCGCCCCGCAATTTTAATTCTGACATGAGTTTGGAAAGTTAGTTTAATCCTTATTGTCTGTGTTTTCTAAAATGACAAATATCTCCTAAATGTCTACTTGTTTTTATAATAATTTTATTTTATTTATTAAAATAATTTTTTGGATGTTTTTAAATTTATTTTTGAGGGAGAGAGAGAGAAACAGAGTGTGAGCAGGGGAGGGGCAGAGGAGATGGAAACACAGAACCTGACGCAGGCTCCAGGCTCTAAGCTGTCAGCACAGAGCCCGACACGGGGCTCATACTCACAGACTGTGAGATCATGACCTGAGCTGAAGTCAGATGCTTAATTGACTGAGCCACCGAGGCACTCCTGTAATGATTTTAAATAAAACACTCATGTCAATTCTCACTAGGTATACCATTCTTTTAAAATATTAGTTTTGAGCCATAAGAATATGCATGCTTTAAAAAAGATCATTTATCATCAGAGTAAAAATAATAATAATGATAGAAATAAATAAACCTCGGTATTTGTATAGTTTCAAGATACTTATAATAAAGGTAAAATAGTAACTGATGGTTGAAGAAACCTGCCAGACACTCCTTTAATCAAATGGTCAACGTGACCAGTCTACTGTGACAGTCTACTGTGTTTCATTATAGCAGCCTGAAACACAAGATACCTCCCAGGGGCACCTGGGTGGCTCAGTTGGTTAAGCATCTTGGCTCAGGTCATGATCTCATGGTTTGTGAGACTGAGCCCTGAGTTGGGTTCTGCACTGACAATGCAGAGTTTGCTTGGGATTCTCTCTCTCTCCTTCTCTCTGCCCTTCCCCATGCTGGCATACGCTCTCTCTCAAACTAAATAAATAAACATAAAAAAAAAAAAAAAAAGAAGGATAGGGGCAACTGGCTGACTCACTAAGTTAAGCGCCCAACTTCGGCTCAGGTCATGATCTCATGGCTTGTGAGTTTGAGGCCCCCATCAGGCTCTGTGCTGACAGCTCAGAGTCAGTCTAGAGCCTGTTTCAGATTCTGTGTCTCCCCCTTTCTCTCTGAGCCTCCTCTGCTTGTGCGTGTGCTCTCTCAAAAAAAAAAAAAAAAAAAAAAAAAAGACACCCCCCCCCCGAAAATTGCCAGGCTCCAGCCTGATTACCTACCATGAAGTCTATCAGCTGATAACCCCCTTCCAATTGGCATTTCACTGCCTCACTTCTAAATATGAATGGGTAATCAAAGATCATCAGATATTTAAAGAAAGCCTCTAACAAGAAATCTGACTACCAAACAGAAAAAAGAACTTGGAGGAAATAGAGACAATACAGGAAAGCAGAAGAAACCTAAAAATACCATAAATATCCTCAGAGAGATAAAGGAATACGTTGTGTTCCATAAATACACAGACAAGTTTAAATAAGGAAACATAAAGAGAAAAAAAACTTTTTAGAAATGTATAATATGAAAAAAAATGTATGTTACAGAACTAAATTTAATATGACTGCAGATTAAGTTGAAGAAATCTTCCAGAGAACAAAAGACAAATAGATAGAAAGTGGGAAAGACAAAAAAACTAAAGAATCAGTCCATGAGATCCAACATCTGAATAAAAAGTTCCAGATATAGGAAAGAAAGAAAACGGAGGTGATGGATACTACAGAAACAATGCTAACAACTTTCAGAACGAAAGAAAAGGAGTTTCCAGACTGAAAGTTTCCACCAAGTACCAACTCCATGAATGAAAAAAGTCCCCCATCAGGGCACACAGTCAAGAAATTTCAGGACATTAAGCAGAAAGGGGGGGGGACCAACCCCACAAAACACAGGATTTTTGGCTTCATTTCATTTAGGGATCAGTAATTTAAAAGCCTTCCTAATACAGGGGCTCAGTGGGTTAAATGGCTGACTCTTGATTTCCGCTTAGGATACCATCTCACAGTTCCTGGGATAGAGACCCAAGGTTGGCTCAGTTTGGCTCTGTGCTGAACTGTGCGGCCTGCTTGGGATTCTGTCTGCCCCTCCTCGCCACACGCGTTCTTGCTCTCTCTCTTAAAATAGATAAGTAAAAATTTTAAAAAGGCCTTTCTGATATACAATATCTAAAAATACAGGCTAAAATATAAATACAAATCCCATCTAACTACCAAGTTCATAAAATCAGTAATTAAGAAGACTCCACAAATGCCCCATTCAAATAATGAGAAACTGAAAACCACAGTGCTGAAAGCCAATGCCAAGTGCCCTGAGGGGGTCTGTGGGCTTAAAAGCAAAGGTTTGGGACTGATGAGCCTGACAGGCCCAGGAGATAAGGTCTTGCACCTGCCGAGAGTGAGGAGTTAGAATTGAGAAATCCCACCTGAATCTAGGAGAAAAGGTAAATCAGAAAATAATCCGTCCACCAAGAGAGACTAAAAGGAATACTCGTTTAGCCTGGGCTCTGCAGGAAAAAGATCTTCTCTGAGAATTCAAAACCACAGGCCTCCCAAGAATTTGGAATTCAAATTCGCATTACGTATATTGTTTAAGAACCCACTACCACCACCATCAAACAGAGAAATTAACATAGAAAGTAATCCCAGCTCCTAACGCCTTTGGCATACTCCAAATAATCAAATGCAAAGCAATTCGAGAGGCACAGCTTAGCTCAGGGCTCCCCAAACGTCCTCAGATAAAGCATCATCAGATATCAACTCACCCTTCAACAGTATAAACAACATCCATTTATCCCCAACCACTCCTTCCTAAAGGACTTTGTGGAGGTATCCTTTGGGATGAAGGAAGCTAGACCCAGAAGGCAGGCCTGAAATGCCAAAAAATGTGGCAAAAATATGTATAAATCTAAACAATCACTGATGGGGGCGCCTGGGTGGCTCAGTCGGTTGAGCATCCGACTTCGGCTCAGGTCATGATCTCATTGTGTGGGTTCGAGCCCCGTGTTGGGCTCTGTGCTGACAGTTCAGAGCCTGGAGCCTGTTTTCGGATTCTGTGTCTCCCTTTCTCTCTGACCGTCCCCTACTCACGCTGTTTCTCTCTCTCTCTCTCTCTCAAAAATAAATAAAACATTAAAAATTTTATTAAAAAAACAATCACTGATGTAGAAAACAGTAATGATAATGGCTAATTTGGAAATAAAAAAGACAATAATCATATTGCTGCTAGATGACAATAATGTTAGATGGGGACAAGGATGGTTCAGAGACAGCCAGTCTAGGCCCTTGTCCTGTTCAGGAGGGAGGTAGAAATATTTACAACATTTCTACATGTTGCCACAGTACAGCAGAAACTACAAGAAGCAGTACGTGGCTGAATCACTATATTGTACATATGCAACAACAGAACACCGTATATAAATTATGCTGGAATTAAAAATTAAAACAGGGCACCTGGGCGGCTCAGTTGGTTAAGCATCTGACTCTTGATTTTGGCTTAGGTCATGATCTCAGGTTTGTGAGTTCAATCCCCACGTCAGGCTCTGTGCTGACAGTGCACAGCCTGCTTGGGATCCTCTCTCCCTCTCACAAAAATAAAAATAAACAAAAAAAAAAAAAAAAGGAAAAAGCAGATCACTTACAAAGGAATAAGAATTACACCTATGTCAATTATCAGCAACACCTACTTTTTGTTTTTTGAGAGAGAGAGATAGCGTGCAAGTGGGGCAGAGAGAGAGAGGGAGAAAGGATCCGAAGCAGGCTGTGCAGTGATGACAGCGGAGAGCCAACTCACAAATGGTGAGATCATGACCTGAGCGGAAGTCGGGTGCTTACCCTACTGAGCCACCCAGGCGCCCCAACAACATCTACTTTTTGCAGGAAGAAAATACTGAAGGAAAAAATCTTTGACTCAAGGGTTTTAACCCTTGAAATCAAGATATTCTCAGGCATACAAGCCTCAGAAATTTTACCACAGAAAGCCCCCTTTGGAAAACACTGTTGGAGAAAGTTCTCCAGCAAACAAAGAGTAAATAGTAAAGTGTATCACTGTTTCAAAAGCAACCAAAGCTTGTATCTCTAACAATCCAGAACTCAAACTAGAAGAAATGGAAAAAAAAAGAGGAAGGGAGGGTATTGAGGGAAGAGAGTATGGCTGCAATACTTGTCTATTTCGGTGGGTGTTTAAGTTTATGGTAAAAAAAAAAAAACCATGGATATGGGCTTAATAAGGTACTCTATCCTGACTCCCCATCTGCTAATCTTGTTAGTAACATCAGACTGAAAGCTCTTCTTTGTCCTTTATCATGAATTCCTAAACGATTCACACCATTCCTCCACATACACGCACTCAAAGCCACTAAGGAATCAGGAAACCCCAATACCGTTAACAATTCTCGACCTTTTCATCCCGAAAGACTTTGGTGCAGGAGTAGCACCTGCGACTTCGCATCCCGAGTTCTGACCTGTTACCTACCTACGACCGGAGCCCGGGGACTACTCTCAGCCATAGAACTCTGCCGCTCAGAGAATCTGCCGTCGCCTGAGAAAGGACAAAATGCATCAGAAACGACCACCTTCTTTAGCCTTCGACCTCCCACTATCCCCTCCCCCCGCCTCCCAATTCCCGCAAAATACCCAGTGCGGCTCTCGGGAAAAGCCAAGACTGAACTCCATCACAAGCCTCATCCCGTCTCCCCTCCCGTGCCTCCTTCCAGGCTCCTGTCCATCAGTCCTGCAACCCCCCTCGAGAGCTCTGCGCCCTCACTCCCGTGGCCTCCTGGCCACCCCTTTTGTATTTCAGTTCCCGTGCCTCCCTCCAGGCTCTGGTCCCCTCAGTCCCTTCGCCCCCTTTAGACCTCTGCCTCCTCAACGCCTGTAAGCCCTTCTTCTCGGCCCCTCTACGCTCCTCAGCTTCTGCACCTACCCGCTCGCCAAGTCCTGGGCACCTTCTCGATCTCTTAGCCTCTCTACACCCGTATAACCCCTTCCACCTTCCTTCTTACCCCATCTTCCCCTTCCCGGCATCCGTACCCTCTCCTGGCTCCCTCCTCAAGGTCTGCGTGGTATATTCGCGGGCTCCATGAGCCTTTTCAAACGACCGAATGCCCAAGGTCCCTCCGCAAGAACACACGACCAGGCTCCAGGCGCCCTCGGCCGCGGCTCCGGTTTAAATTTCCTGTCGGCCCCGCCCCTAAAATAGCGTAGTAGATGCGAGGGTCTGCCCTACGGTGGCTCTGCGAGGTCAATATTAACTCAGCAAATCTTCCCTCTCCCTATTCCGCCCCGCTCTCTCCGTCCGTCCCTTCATTTCTTGGCTTTTCATTGGGTGGAGAAACCCTGCGCCTTAACAGACCGGAAGTTGGGAACTAGAGGTAGCCTAGTTTTAGTGATTTTTCACCCTGAGCTGGTTTGAAATTTCTAGGAGTTCGCTAACAAAATAGGCCTATCTTTGAGCATTTACAATTTACAGAAACATTTCACATACACATCATTTCGTCTTCACACCTTTGTTTCCTTCCCTGTTCTCCACTTACCCCCCCAACAAAAAATTCTCAAAAGAAGTGTCTCCTCTTTTCTTCACCTCACGTAATTAGTTTGATCCTCACCTCTCCACTAAAACTGTCAACTGTAACTTCCATGTTCCCAAATCCTACGGTCACTTTGCTACGCTCAACAGATCCAACTTCTAGAACATTGAAAAAGACTATTCCTTCCTTCTTGAGCCCATTTCTTCATTTTGTTTCTTCTATTTCTACCAGTTTTCACCTTCCTTCCTTAATCTCCTTCGCTGGATCCGAAGCCACTGTTCCACCTATAAATGCTGCAGCAGGCCAAGGCTTTAGCCCTTAGCCCTCTTCTTTTCCATATTCGCGTTTTCTCCCTAGAAGATCTCATTCAACTCCATGGCTTTACAATCAACTCTATGCTAATGCCTGCAGAACTTCTATCTCTGGTTTCCATCTCTCCTTTGATCTCCAGACTTCTATATTCAAGCAGATACTGGACATTTCTGCTTGGATGTCTAATGGACACTTCCAGCTCAACACATTCAAGATGGAACATTTCTTTCATGAACCTACCCCTCAAAACACCCCAGCTATTCTTCTCCATCTCAGTAAATGTCACATAATCCACTCAGTTGTTCAAGACAAAAACCTAGAGGTTATTCTACTTTCCCTTATCCCCATCCCCACTCCAGAAACAAATTCTACCAACTCCAAAGTATCTTGTATGAAACACTTCCACCATCTTATCAAGCCACCATACCTTTTTGCCCAAAGCACTGTGTCAATTTTTAACACTACTTCTACTTTTTTTTTTTTTTAAGTAAATTCTATCCCCAACGTGGGGCTCGAACTCATGACTCTGAGATCAAGAGTTGCATGCTCTACTGACTGAGCCAGCCAGGCACCCCAACACTACTTTTACTCTTGAGTTGCTTCCTGTATCTCCCCAAAATAATCCATTCTCCATGCACAACTGGAATATTTAAACACCATGGCATATTTTACACACACACAATCCCTTCCAGTGGGGCCCCTCCATACACTAGATTATACATACCAGCCCTGATGAACCAAAGCTTGGCCATGTGACTTGCTTTGGCTGATGAAAAAAGAAAAAAAGTGACATCACTTCCAAGCACAAGTTTTAAGTGACAAGATCATTTACCAAGTTCTTTTACCCCATCACAATGACAGGCAATGTCCTAGCTAGAAGCTGACCTGTCAGCTTGGGTTCCTGAGTAAAGATTACAGGCAACCCCAAATAGATTTGTAGTGTAAGCAAGAAATAATCCTTTATTATTTTAAGCTACTGAGATTTTGGTAGCATTTGTTACTATATCATAATCAAGTCCAAGTTTCCCACAGTGTAGCACAGTCCTTTCAGAAGGTTCCATGAAGTCACCATTTTGTTAATAGCACAAAAACATTATTTCCATTTTTCATTCTCATTCTCTCATGAATGTTTAGTGGAGTATGCAGAAGCAAAATAAGAATCTAACACTCCTCTGTTTAAAAGTTATTAAAAAGATTTGGAGTGGGGCGCCTGGGTGGCTCAGTCGGTTAAGCATCTGACTTCGGCTCAGGTCATGATCTCACGGGTCATGAGTTCGAGCCCCACGTCGGGCTCTGTGCCGACAGCTAGCTCGCAGCCTGGAGCCTGTTTCAGTTTCTGTGTCTCCCTCCCTCTCTGACCCTCCCCTGTTCACGCTGTCTCTCTCTCTCTTTCTCTCAGAAATAAATAAAACATTTTTAAAAAATAAAAAAATATAAAGATTTGGAGAAATGTGAAACAATGTCGTTCTTCTAATTATTTTTGTTTTGGAAAATATATTTTCATTAAAAGTGCATTATTTAAGTTAACACACAGTGTGGGCTTATTCTTAAATGAACAATATATTTTTTAAGTTTTTATTCATTTACTGAGAGAAAGAGAGAGAACATGAGCTGGGGAAGGGCAGAGGGAGGGAGGAAGGCAGGGAGAGAGAGAATCCCAAGCAGGCTCCACATGCCAGTGTGAGCCCAACACAGAGCTCAAACTCTCTTTTTATAAAAAAATTTTTTTAATTAATTTGTTTTTTTTTTTTTTTCCTGAGAGAGAGAGAGAGACAGCGTGAGCAGGGGAGGATCAGAGAGAGAGGGAGACACAGAATCCAAAGCAGTCTCCAGGCTCTGAGCTGGCTATCAGCACAGAGCCCGATACGGGGCTCAAACCCACGAACCGTGAGATCATGACCTGTGCCAGAGTCAAATCTTAACCAACTGAGCCAGCCAAGCTCCCCAATGAACAATATTTTCAACCTTTAATTTCCAGTGTGGTAAATATCACATAGTTTATTTTCTAAATATATATACAAATATATAAAATCTTTACATGTATACATTTATTTTTTTAATGTATCTTTATTTTTGAGAGAAAGAGACAGAGAGACACAGAGAGAGCACGAGCAGGGGAACAGCAGAGAGTGAGGGAGACAGGAGACCCTAAGCGGGCTCTGAGCTGAGAGCCAAGAGCCTGACAGAACATGGGGTTTGAACTCACGAACCGTGAGATCATGAACCGAATTGAAGTGGAACACTTAGCCGACTGAGCCACCCAGGCACCCCAATTTATAAACTTAAATTTTAAAATACCCACATCTGTGGTGTCTCTCTCAATTAGATAGGGGCCCCCAAACATGGGGTGTTCAGATCGGGTGGGGGCCGGTGGCGCAGACAGTGGAAGGATTCACTCGAGGCAGAACACAGGAGACGGTTTATTTTTTTTTTTAATGTTTTTTATTTATTTCTGAGAGAGAGAGAGAGAGAGACAGCGTGAGCAGGGGTGGGTCAGAGAGAGAGGGAGCTACAGAATCTGAAGCAGGCTCCAGGCTCTGAGCTAGCCATCAGCACAGAGCCCGCCACCAGACTCGAACCCACGAACTGTGAGATCATGACCTGAGCGGAAGTCGGATGCTTAACCTACTGAGCCACCCAGGACGCCCCAGGAGATGGTTTATTAAATACACTACAAGCGAGCGGTGGGCAAGACAGTGGAGGAGAGGCTGTCGGCAACGAGGCAGTGGGTGGAGGCGGTTTTTAAAGAGAGAAGGTGAGGAGGTCTGCGGACGTATGGAATTCTTCCTTTGTTGGTAACTGAGACTGGGTGATAAAAAATATTTCAACATCTGCACTGTGGTTTCTCGGATCGCCTGCTGTGAGGGAAGCTGGAAATCGTGGCTTGAGAAAGTTCGAGTATGCCATGGAAAGGTTCTGGTGGAGACAGAGGGGGATGGAGGCCTCCTGCTAACAGCCAGGACCAGCTTCCCACTACTGTGGCTGAGCCCTCTTGCCAGGAGATTCTGCAGCCCTAGCTAAGCTTTCCAGTGACTGCAACCTCAAAAGGGATCCCAAGCCAGAAAAGTCCAACCAAGCCGCTCCCAGATTCCAGGTCCCCAGAAACCCAGAGGAAATCAGTGCCTGGTGTTGTTTTAAGTCATTGTATTTTGGGGTGACACAGCAACGGATAACTGATAAACACATTTATAAAGCTGTTTGGGATCCTCAATTTTTAAAAAAGAAAATAGGGGCCTGAAACCAAACCAAACCAATTTCAGAACTGCGAACATAGCTTATCCTGTCTGACAAATAAAACCAGTGAAATTGCCTTCCCTTTCAAACCCACCCAGTGGCTTTCCCTGTTTGCTCCTCTGGCAAAACGTCCCTGTGTCTTTTTTTTTAAATTTGTGTGTGTGTGGGTGCCTGGGTGGCTCAGTCAGCTAAGTGTCCGACTTTGGCTCAGGTCATGATCTCACAGTTCGTGGGTTCGAGCCCCACGTCGGGCTCTGTGCTGACAGTCAGCTCAGAGCCTAGAGCCTGCTTCGGATTCTTTGTCTCCCTCTCTGACCCTCCTCTGCTCACACTGCCTCTCTCTCTATCTCAGAAATAAATAAAACATTAAAAAAAATAAATGTGTGTGTGTGTGTGAGAGAGAGAGACTGAGCATGAGCGGGGTTGGGGTGGGGTGGGAGAGACAGAATTCGAAGCAGGATCCAGGCCCCAAGCTGTCATCACAGAAGCTGACGCAGGGCTTGAACTTGTGTATTACAAGATCATTCCCTAAGCCAAAGTGAGCCATGGCCTGCTTAACTGACTGAGCCACCCAGGCGCCCTCAAACTTCCCTGTGTCTTGAATGAGCCAAACTTGTGGCTGCCTTAGGGCCTTTGCACTAACAGTTCCATTTCCCACCTCTTCTCTTTCCTTTTAGGCATCAGATGGAATCTCACTTTTTCATATGGGACTGCAGAGAGCACCTGACCCAAGAAGCAGCTTCATTTCTTGCCAGTGTGTGCCACTTGGGCTTATTTTCTTCACAGCACTTACCACTATCAGAAAGTATCTTACTTGTTTACCATGTGTTGTCTGTATTTCCCCAGCTAGAAAGTGAGATGATAAGAAAAGGGACCTTTTCTGTTTCACTCACTGCTATATGCCCAAAATAAAAAACCTGGTGAGTGTTTACTAAATATTTGTTGAATGAATGAATGACTGAATCTCTCTGATCTTCAGTTTTTTCATTTCTAAAAGGAAGATAATATTATCCAACAGAAAATGGGGTTTTAATTTTTTAAAGTGTATTATTTTGAGAGAGAGAGAGAAAGCATGCGCACGTGAGCAGAGAAGGGACAGAGAGACGGAGATAGAGAATCCCAAGCAGGCTCCGGGCTGTCAGAGCAGAGCCTGACACAGGGCTCGATCCCACAGACTGTGGGATCATGACCTGAGCCCAAATCAAGAGCCCGACTGAGCCACCCAGCTGCCCCAAAAGTGAGGTTTTAAATATTAAATATGTATTTAGCACAAAGCCAGTGACCAGAAAAAGGTATCCTTTCCTATTTGGCAGAAAATATTTTTAGATAATACTTCAAAATTTTATTTCTCAGCATTTTTCTTGATTCTTGAAGGAAAGTGCTTAAAATTTAAAAAAAAATCAGCTCATTATCATAGAACAAGGACTTCCCAATATCTAAAACACTTGTACATATAGATATAGAAAAGACCAACCACTCAATTGAAAATGGGTAAGGGAATATTCATAGGAAAAGAAATACAAAGAGCATTCAAATATGCTCAACCTCACTTAAAATAAGGGAAATGCAAATCAAATCTACACTGAAATGCCACTTTTCACTTAACAGACTGGCAAAGATCAATTTTGCTAGATAGTGCCAAACTACCTTACATCGGGGTTGTACCAGCCTCCTACATGAAGCAGCTTGGCACTACCTAGCAAAATTACAAATGTAATCTTTCCACCCGGCAATCTCATTTTTAGGAGTGACTCTACAGATGTACATACTCATACATATGTGCTATGGCTTATGTAATATCTACTGCAGCACTGCAGTATCTACCAGTTATATGGTGTTTATCAGAGAAATGCCTATAAAATAATGGCACAGAAAAGGGATGCAGATATATTTATTTAGTTACTCTATTTTATAACTACATAGGCAGCGCTTACTATGATATTCAAAGTGCTTTAAACTTTATTTACTTTGAGAGAGAGAGAACGTGCAAGCACAGGCAGGGAAGAGGAAGAGATAGAGGGAGAGAGAGAATCTCAAGCAGGCTCCTACTGTATGATGGGGCCAATCCTGGGAACTGTGAGATCATGAACTAAGCAGAAACCAAGAATCTGACACTCAACCCAGGGGCCCCCAAGTGCTTTAAAAATAATAATTACTTTGATCCTCCTAAAAACCTGGTGAGGTGAGCAGTTAACAATGTCCATTTCGTACATGGGAACACTGAGGTTACAACTTGCTTGAGGTCACACAGTCAGAAACTTTTAGGGCTGGGATTTGGACCCAGGCAGTCTGACTACAGGGGCCATGCTCTGTGCTGCCGCTCAATGGAGGGCAACATGGAGAAAGAAAACTGATACCACAATATTAAAATCTGATAAAACAGATCTTTTTTTTAATGTTTAATGTTTATTTTTGCGAGAGAGAGAGAGAGAGAGAGAACAAGCAGGGGAGGGTTAGAGAGAGAGGGAGGCACAGAATCTGAAGCAGGCTCCAGGCTCTGAGCTGTCAGCACAGAGCCCGACGCGGGGCTTG